GGAGCGAGGCCTGGCAGCGAGTGGAGTGGGCGGGGGCCGAGGACAGCCCTCGCCTCAGATGGAGCCTGTGGACAGCCCCTGGCTCTGTGTGTGGTTTTGTGATGAAGGAGACCTCTCTGCCGGCTGCACTGTGGGCCCAGAGCGGCCAGGGGTGAAGGGAGAGACGGGGCCTGGACACGTTCACCCAAGTCCCAGGTTAAAGCCTTTTTGTTTCTGACTCTTCCTCCTAAGAACTCTGTTTCCTGTTTTCCCTTTTGCCACAATGCCCTCCCCTGGCTCCTGCCCCTCCACCCCTCAGCCCTCCTCTCCTGTCAGTGGCGGCAAAATCAGGGCAGATGGAGTGTTGAAACCGTGGCCGCGGAAGCTTATGAAACGCATTCCCCCCAGTCCCCCGGAGCGGCCCAGCCTTGCTATTGCAACAGCTTTGGGACGGCCTGTCTGCTGGGGAGACGGTGCCCGTGGCATGAGGGGTGGCCCCCAGGAGCCCCCTCTCTGTGTCACACAAAACCCAGGCCCTGGGTGGGGGCAGAGGCGGGCGGTGGGCGAGGCTCTGTCTGCTCCTAGATCCTGGCTGCCGGGCCCTGGGCGGACTGCTGGGCAGGCCTCCTGCGGGTGCGGGGGGGTGGAGAGCAGGTGGCTGGGGGCAGGACAGCGGGCCCTTGAGAACCTCAGTGAGGGCCTCCTGGGCGGGAAGGGGGGGGACGGGGGCTGGGTCCTGGCCCCGGAGGTGGGAGGTGCCAGCAGCCTGTGGGTGCGCCATCCTGGGTGAAGGCCAGCGGGAGGGCCTGGGAGTCTGGAACAGCTCAGCTCTCGGGAGGAGCAGGAAGCCACCACGTGGGCTGAAGCGGACGGGGCGTTACTGAGGCCAGGACTGCAGAACTGGTGGGAGGAATCATGGGGAAAAAAAGGATCGTGAAACAAACACAAAACTGAGCCAGGGGCTGGGAGGGGCTCGGGGAGGGGGATGGAGAGAGGGACGGAGAGAGGGACGGAGAGGGGGGCGGGGAGCCTGAAGCTGCTGTCCTCCCACTCCCAGGGCGGCAGGAACAACATTCAGGGACAGACAGCAGGCAGTGATGGCCTGAGGGGGGAGGGGAGGGGGAGGGGAGAGGGACGCTGGTGAGGGAGGAGACCTGACTCGGGTGGTGAGCACAGCGCAGTGACAGGTGATGTATGATAGAGTGAACCCCTGAAACCAGGGTCACCCCAACAAGTTCAGGAAGAAGGCGTCTTCGCTGCGTGTGACTGCGTGTCCTGCTGTTTCCAGGAGCAGGAGAGCAGCAAACCACATCCCCTTTCTTCCAGGGAAAAAGCTCTAAATAGAGTCACTTTCATTTTTCTTTATTTCAGTAAAACCGAGGTCATCCTCGCAGGGACCGGGCACAAACGTCGGGCCCACGGCCTCGGTGAGACCCCGGGAGTCCTCGGCCGCTCGGACCTCAGGCCTCCGCCCTTCATCAGGCGCCCGATGTGTTTGCGCCAAATCACCGGCACAGCCCGTGTGCCCGCGTAGGGCTGGGTTTTAAACTTGCTCCCGTCTCTCATGCTCAGGGGACACCAGCTGCTAAGCCACGCGGCCTGCTGGTGGGAATGCGGCTGCTCACGTGTCCGGGGGAGCAGGTCCCGTGGCTCCGTGACGTCACTGCTTGCAGATCAGGAGGATTTTTGACGGTTTCCTGGCGCAGACAGAGCTGAGACGCTGAGCACGTCGGGCAGAGGTGGGTCAGGGACGTGTCGGACTGACTGACTTCTGCAGTTCCCACTTGGAGTCTTTACCCATCGCCCGCCCCGCGGGGCTCAGGGGCTGAGCGTCGACCTAGGAACCAGGAGGTCACGGTTCCATTCCCCGTCAGAGCTCACACCCAGGTTGCGGGCTCGATGCCAGTGTGGGGCGTGCAGGCAGCCGATCAATGACTTTTTAAGAAAATTAGATGGGGATCCGCCAGCTAAATAACCACAGTATTTAATCAGGAGCCACACGTGGGCGCGGGAAAGGGAGGCCCGCGCTGGCCTTGTTTGGGACGGGCCCTGCCAGTCGCCCACAGGGGACGCCGGGCCTCCTCCCGGCGGGATTTGGGCTTCCAGGCCTCTGTACCCCGAGTCTGCCTCCCGCCCCCACGGCAGAGGCGAATCCAAAGGGCCTTTCAAAGACCTTGAGACAGGAAAGCGGAGGGGCTGGCAATGGCCACTCCATCTCATTTCCTCCCGACCTTCCATCCACCATCGCCAAGTGCCCCCGAACCGCGGGGGAACCACTCACGTGCACTATGGGGGGCGGGAGAGCGGGCGCCACGGCGGCCACTTCAGGTCCTAGCGCCGGGCTGCCCGTCTCCTCAGGTCCCGTGGTCTCGGGGCCACAGGCACGAAGTGGGTAAACATCAGCGTGAAGGGTGCTTGTCCCAGGCTGGGAGGGGTCAGCGCCCCGACGTTCACATAAACACGGAGGACGGCGAGGAGCGTGTGCAGCCGGAGGACACAGGAGAGCGAGAGCCGTGCTGCGGTCTTTCCTTCTCTCATCCGAGACTCCAGCTGAAAGTGCTATTTTCTCACGCCCGCCGCCCCCACCCTCCAGCCCCAAAGCCTCCGGGCTGCCCCGCCCTGGCCTGCTCCCTCCGCACCAGCAAACGCCTCCGGAAAACGTCCTCTTAATGAAACCCTGTCCTTCCTGCCACTCGAATAGTCTCTGAATTAAGTGGCCTGGGCCCCTCTGGGCTGCTCCCTTTTCTCCCTGATGTCCCTCAACTCTCACGGGACACAAACCCCAGAGGATCGGCTCTTAGCAGCAGCGGAGCCAGGGGTGGCCTCGGCTCCTACAGCGTCTGGGAGACGGACGGGCGTCAGGAAGGACCGAGGCCGCAGCCTCACGGCTCCCCTGGGGGCACCATCGAGGAAGGGGCTGGCGTCCTCTTCCACCGACCGGGCGGGAACCCTTTCCTGCCGAGGGCCATGTGGCTACGATCACGCCATTTGCTGAATAGAATTCACTTGCTGTTTCTGTGCCGTGAGGAGAGCCCGGGATTGACTGGATTTGGAGTCCCGCCCGCGGCTGCCGGGGCAGCGCCGGACCCGGTGGCTTCAGGAGCGCTCCTTCCCGATCCCTGATTCTGACGACGCCCTTGTCCACACGGGCTGTGCACCAATCACCCCTCACCATCACTTCCCACACCTCTCTCCCTCGCCCAGCCCTGCCCCCCGCTTCCTCCCCTTCTTTCCTGAACCGACCAAGTGCCTGCTGCCCGCGGACGCTACATACATCCTACACGTGCGAGTGCCTGCTGCCCGTGGGCGCTACATACATCCTACACGTGCAAGTGCCTGCTGCCTGCGGACACTACATGCATCCTACACGTGCAAGTGCCTGCTGCCTGCGGACACTACATGCATCCTACACGTGCAAGTGCCTGCTGCCTGCGGACACTACATGCATCCTACACGTGCAAGTGCCTGCTGCCTGCGGACACTACATGCATCCTACACGTGCAAGTGCCTGCTGCCTGCGGACACTACATGCATCCTACACGTGCAAGTGCCTGCTGCCTGCGGACACTACATGCATCCTACACGTGCAAGTGCCTGCTGCCTGCGGACACTACATGCATCCTACACGTGCAAGTGCCTGCTGCCTGCGGACACTACATGCATCCTACACGTGCAAGTGCCTGCTGCCTGCGGACACTACATGCATCCTACACGTGCAAGTGCCTGCTGCCTGTGGACGCTACATACATCCTACACGTGCAAATGCCTGCTGCCCGCGGACACTACATACATCCTACATGTGCAAGTGCCTGCTGCCCGTGGGTGCTACATACATCCTACACGTGCAAGTGCCTGCTGCCTGCGGACACTACATGCATCCTACACATGCAAGTGCCTGCTGCCCACGGGCGCTACATACATCCTACACGTGCAAATGCCTGCTGCCCGCGGACACTACATACATCCTACACGTGCAAGTGCCTGCTGCCTGCGGACACTACATGCATCCTACACATGCAAGTGCCTGCTGCCCACGGGCGCTACATACATCCTACACATGCAAGTGCCTGCTGCCTGCGGACGCTGCACCAACCCTAGATGTTCAGGGAGGGCTGCGCTGGCCTCAGGGAGCGTCTGTCACGTTGTTGGCATGGTCTGACCTCTCTAAACAAGTAATGCTAACGTAAGAGGTACATGTTGTACTTGAGGTACTTACAGAATAACACCCAGGCTCACAAATAGCATGGAGGGCCTGGCCTGTGTGGCTCAGTGGTTGAGCATAGGCCTATGAACCAGGAGGTCACGGTTCAATTCCCCTCAGGGCACAGGCCCGGGTTGCAGACTTGACCCCCAGTGTGGCGTGTGCAGGAGGCAGCCAATCCATGATTCTCTCATCATTGATGTTTCTATCTCTCTCTCTCCCTTCCTCTCTGAAATCAATAAAAATATATTCAAAACTATAACAACATGGAGTGACTGTGACCTTATGTGGCTAAGTCGTGACCTTTAAATCAGTCCAATCCACACAGACACCCCAGGAGGGAGACAGGCAGCGCGCCCCGAGCTCTGCTAAGTCATGGCTGTGGGACTGTCTCGAGGAGGCGGAGGTCATTCTGCTGGAACAGAAAAACAAACAATTCCACGCGCAGAGTCTGAGGAATGTGTGAGCAATGCCCGCCCCGTCCCGCTGGGCCGAGATGTGGGGCGGCCGATGCTGCGGAAACGTCGTCAATACGTGGACGTGATCACAGGACAAAGAAGGCCTGGAATCACCGTCCAGAGGTTTGGGCTGTGGCCGGGAACGGACATGGCTGGACACGCGTGTGCAGAACACTGCGTGTGAGCCATGAGCCGACGGGAGCCCTGACCGCTTTGCTCCTCAGTAACCGTCGTCGGCACAAGGAAGATGACGGAAGGAGCCTTGTTGTTTATTCAGCAAAGCTCACGTCACCAAACACACCAGCAAGCCGTCCGCAAGCGGCACATCGGCTGTGGCCGGGAACGGACATGGCTGGACACGCGTGTGCAGAACACTGCGTGTGAGCCATGAGCCGACGGGAGCCCTGACCGCTTTGCTCCTCAGTAACCGTCGTCGGCACAAGGAAGATGACGGAAGGAGCCTTGTTGTTTATTCAGCAAAGCTCACGTCACCAAACACACCAGCAAGCCGTCCGCAAGCGGCACATCA